TAATATGGCTATTAGGTAGAAAAATACATAAAGATTAATAATTTAGAAGAATTTTATTATAAAAATATGAAAAGTACTTTAAAAGTTATAAAAAAAAGATAAGAAGTTGATAGAAATTTTAGTCTATACAATCTTTTTTATGAAAAGTTTTACTTGCTTTTTAGAGCCATAATTAAGATAAAAAATAATGTATACTAGCAAAAATAATATTATAAAAATCTTAAAGTAAAAATAAAAGATAGTTTCTAGCAAAATTTACCTAAAAAAACCTTAGATTGATACTTCAAGAAGACCAATTGTGAACCAAGGTTGAAATAAGATCTCAAGGCATTTAAACTATGCATCTTTGGCTAACTAAGGGATTTTTTTTAATTAAAAAAAAGGATTGAAAAGCAAGATTGAAGTGATTTTTATGAGTTTTGGCTTAAATAATTTACAATTTACAATGACTTTGGGTGACTTTGATTTTGAAAAATAAAAATAGTTTACACTTTAAAGAATTTTATGAGTTTTTAAAGCTTAAATAACTATACTAAAATAGCCACTTTCAATATTATTTTAAAATATTTTATAAATTTTAATATCAACTATATTAAATTTATATACTTATATAATTTTTTTATTTTTTTAATAACTTCTTATACTTTTTTTAAATTAAATAATATGGTCTAATTTTTAATTATTGAGCTAATAACTTTATATCAAATATTATTAAAAATAATAATTTAGTGGCATTAATTAAATTAGCTACTTATTTTTTTAGGTATAAGAAAGTAAAAAAATTATAACACAATTAATCTATTTCTATAAGCTCTTGTTATTTTTCTCTATATTGGTTTTAAAGTTTAAGAATGGTCAGTTTAATATATCTCTTTTTAAAATAATATATATATATATATATATATATATATATATATATTTGAGTTACTATTGTTAAATTACTTACATTTCATACTTAAACAAATCTCAATTTTCTATTTTTTAGTATCTTCTTATATATATGGTCTATTAAATTACACCAAAATTCAGAACCAAGTTTCTTGCTTGCATACTTATGTACTAAAAAATTAAATATTAAATAAATTTATATTTTTTAAAATTTAGCTACATACCATATTAAGTTTTATTGCCTTTATAGTTGCAATGCTTACAAAAGCCTTCTTTTTCTTCTCTTATTGAAGAGCTTTTTCTTTATCATAACCCTGCAAGTCTTATAATTTTGAAAAGGTTTCAATATCCTTTCTTTAGCTTAATACTCCAACTTTCAAAAAAAAAAAAAAAAATGATGTAGGTGGTTGTTTTCGTATCTTGTTAATTGTTTTCAACTGAGTCTCACAAATAGTCTTCTTTGGATATTAATCTACTCTTTTTTATGATAAAATTTTAGGAGCCTACTCTAAGCCTTGTTCTAAAAGTAATTGAGTGTTTTTCAGACCTATTCTACCTTAATATGCCTTCTTTATAATCCTAAAAAGTAAGAAGAAATATTTTTTAAAATAAAAAATGGAATACAACATTAAAATTTTAATTGTGCTTAATCTATTATGCAAGAATTCCTGAGAAAATATCTATTAATATTATGCTTGATTATTTCTTATACATTTTGGTCTTTATTCATCTTTTTATCTAATAGTTATATTACAACACAATACTAGTTACACTATGTGTAATGATTGATTGGCTTAAATTCTTGTAAAAAAAATATATATAATATTTTAAGTTGGAATTTTGAGTGTACAAAAATCAAACGTCGAATGTGAGTTTTATTTTACTTTTAGATTAAAAATTGGATCTTGCAATTGGAACTTGCAAATTTTGTGAGTGATCTAATTTGGAAAAAGAATTAAGATTTGACAAAGTATTTCCAATAAGTTTGCTCTTAAGTAGAATAAGATCTTTTCCAATAGTTCTAATTAAAATAAAGGAGTCTTTTTATTGTAGCATTTAGAATTTTTATTATTTACTAAAGATTTTTTTGGTTAATATGTTGCCAATTAAGTAAGAAATAATGATATGATTTTGCAAATTTAGATTTTTGGAAGTGAAGTTTTTAAAATCATTGGATATTTTGCAAGGGTTTTTTCTTACTAAAAAATCAAAGTAATTGTAGCTATATCTATAAAACAAAAATTCTCTTGTATTGTAGTTGGATGTAGATAATCTTTTTCCTACCATTCTCCAAGTGTTTTTATTATACTACTTTAAAACTTATAGTTTCACAATGATATATTGGTGTGTGTGCATAGGACCCTCCTTCCATAGAGTTCTTTTTTGTATATAATATCAATGTAAGATGCAATCTATAATATTTAAATAGACATCTAATTTTTTATTTTTAAAAAATGATCACTTTTTTATTTTTAAAAAATGATCACTTTTTTATTTTTATTAATTATTAAAAAAACTAAAACTGAAAGAACATATTAAACTTTGTAATAAAAAAATATTCAAAAATTAATTAAAAAGATTGCAACCATGTCAAATCATAATTTTTTTGTCCATTCTTTTTCAATAACTTATGGTCCTCTACAACTTTAAACCATTTTTCCATTCTCATCTAATATTTCAATGTTTTAATCCAATATTTATTCTACTAACAAAAGTAGAAATTTAAATTTATTTTTATATGCAGTATTACATTTTAGATAATATAATATTATATTTTAGATTTATATCTTAAGTGCAAAAAAACAAAAATTATATATAATTATGATTTTATATGAATATTTAAAATTATTAATTGATTATATATTTTCAATTATTAACACATTTAGATAAAATTTTATATAGAATAAGTCAGAAATTAATTTTTAGTAATGTATATAAAACTTATTTAAGATTAAATAAAATTTAAAATTTAAATTAAAATTAAATTATTTCTAAGACATTAATAGTTTTTAAATTTTAAATTTTTATTACTATATAGTTGATGCTTTGATTCTCTTGATTTAAAATTATAATTTATAATGTATTTAATTATTTTTTATAATATTTCTAAAATAAAATATAATATTTTTGCAACTAACACATGATAAAATAACATATTTTGATAAATGGACTTTCAAAATTAAGTTATATATTATAATCTTTTTTGATATTTTGACTAAATTTCTTGGATTTAAGAAGAGATTCTATATATGTATAATGTTATATAACAATGTTATACAACATTATAAAAATACATGCACATATTCTTAAAACTCTTTAGATGATTATGTTTTAAATCTCTTTGAATCATACTTCAATATTTTTTAATATATGGAAGCAAAGTTTTTGATGCCAAGCTTTTGTATTGTCATAGATATTATGTTGGATATACGCCTTGTAATTTCAAGACACGTCACAAAGATACTTGTGGTTTTATCATGATAACTTTTGGAAATTGGAACCTCTTTTGGAATTGAATCGAAATACCAAAGAGCTTTGGAATTATGTGGTGGACACCTCATAGTGCTACCCAGAAGGTCTTTGAAGTCCACTTGAAAGTGCTCCAATAACACCAAGAATTTATTCTTTTCCTTAATTACCAAGACCTCAAGAAATATGAAAAAGTCTATGAATCTTATATATAATATTATTTGTAGAGCTTGGTTCTACATCTTCAGTGTTATTTGTTCCACCACAATAAACAAAAAAACTTGTACTTTCAATATAAGCTACTAAATACTTTATTGACATCATTTTTCTAAATATAGATTATAATACATCTCTTTATAAAATTACAACATGTTTATTTCACTCCTTTTTTTTATAATATTTTTTTAAAATCCATGATTTTTGGTTTTATTTCTAAATAATTTAAATTTTAGTATTTTAAAATTAAATGTATGTGAACTATTCATTGTTATAATTCTTATTAATCAAAATTTTTAACTTTCAATCCTCACTTTTAGTGCTTATTTTATACTTTAATATCAATATATTTCTTAATAGGTAATTTTTTTTTAAACATGACAATTATTTTATATACCTTTAGCAATCTAATAAAATAACAATCATGACATGATTACTACAAAAACAATCTATAAATTGATACCTCATACATTTACATTTATTATGATAATATATATATATAGAGAGAGAGGAGAATGTTAAATAGACCTAGATTTTTACTAAATTTACTTACCTATGATGAAGAATATGGTACTCATGATGAATGTGGTTGGTTTTCATTGGTTTTGGATCAAGTATTGGAGAAATGAATGTAGATTTTTTTTTTTTTTTTTTTAAATCATGGTTAGGATGGGTGGATCTATTTAACATTTTCCTTCATATATATATATATATATATATATATAACCTTTTGCAACATACAAATCTTTGCCTATCAATTTATGACATTATTTAGAAAACCATTCTACAACTCATCTACAAGTTTTCCGACAACAGCGAAAGTGATAAAACAAGATAGATCTTACAACCAGCACAACACAGAAATGAGAACTTCAAGATTCGAGTGTGCAACGAGGTTACAGAGCAACTCTTCTTCGGTTCAGCTTGTGTTGAAACAACAGAATCGTTGATTCTATTGCATCCTCAATTTGGTTTAGATAATGGGTAGCAGTGGTTTAGATTGGATCGGCAACCTAGCAAAACTCAGTGCCGCTCCCGGAAGAGGAACACCGTCCACAAACCTCTGTGGGGTCACGGAATTGAATGGGATCTAAATGCTCACCACATGGTATCGCAAGTTGTCCAGTATCAACAGATGCAGCATCGATACAGAGCCCTCCCTGATGCAGCTTTGAACAAGTCCAGAGCGTGATGGTTTAGGTGTTAACAGGATTTTGTAACTGTAATTTGTATGGAGCCAAAACAGAGCAATGTTCTGCACTGAGGTATTCCATGGATCATACATGTGCAAACTGTAAACCTGAAATATGTGTCGCAAAGAGTAAAAAAGCTTCCACAACTTGGAAGTTGTATACAAATTTTAAGGGCTACATTATCAGAAAAATTCATGTCTCGCTTCAATGCCTGAAATCTACACAGCTCAGCTCACTTACAAATCTGAGGTCACTTTCCCAAAGTTTGGAGGATTCTATATCTAGAATATAGTCCGTTAGCTCCACTCAGAATGGTTACCGAACGTGCGTTTCTTAGAAATGAGAAAAATGTACAGAAAATAAAAATACACATAGTACGAGGCACTCGGAGACGCACAATTGAGTCCCCCATTGACCGCTCTCAACTGACATCCTCTCAAGTTACAACAGAAATCCGATTTCTACATTCCAAGTTTCTCAAAATTTTGTAGCGGATGCAACACTGCCTGATGCTTTCTTCGGTGACACGCTTCCCTGCACAAAATATCATCCAAACTGGCCACAGCTTGCAGAATGTAAGGACCCTTGTTCAGCATCACGCACTCGGCCCTGCACCATCGATGTCCAACTTGCGAGTCAATCTCCCGCCACGATCTCGCACAACCCGGGAAAACAATAAAAACCCTGAAATCATTATCATGACTGCTCAAAAACAAAAATCCGTGTGGCATATCGCATGAGTTTAGAATGTGGGTGTAAGATTTACCTGGATCCGGATGCAGCATCTGTGATTTCAGCCCGAGATGGCAATCCTGATTTCGCCAAGCCCTCGAGTACCTGAGTGGCCCAGATCGTAGGCACATGAGCGGACTCGCATATCAAAAGAATCTGATCTTGTAGTTCAGCAAGGCGTTGCCACCCGCATTCCACCGCCATGTCGCCCCGGGCTACCATAACCCCCACCAGGTTCTTTGTCTCCATCGCCTGCAGAAGAATAGTAGGTAGTCTCTGAAAGCCTAATTCAGTCTCGATTTTCACTACAATGCCGATGTTTTCGGCTCCGCGTCTCGCAAGCTCATCTTGAAGAGCGCGCACATCTGCCGGACCATTCACGAACGACAACGCCAGCATGTCGGCGTTCGACACGACGAAGTCTATATCCTCGGCGTCTTTAATAGTTAACCCATTCATCGACAAATCACTCTGAGGGAAATTGATGGCCTTCTCTCCCTTCAGTTTCTTCCCCTTATGATCGCCAGCGTCCGTAATCGTAACATAAATCTCATCAGGCGACACGCTCGATATCACACCCCCGATTTTGCCGTCGTCAAATTTTACAGGCTCCCCGGGTTTTGCAATGTCGAAGATCTTTCCCAATGTACAAGTCACCGATGCGGGTGAAACCACGTTTCCAGCTTTGTCTAGTTTGGCGGGGCTCCCTAAGATGGATTCTCTCTTCAATACAAGCTTGTCGGCGGTTCGAAGGACTATGGCTTGCTCTATTTCTGGCAGCTGCCCTACATTCACTTTCAGTTTCTTGCCCCCATGGCCAGAAATTACCAACTCGCATCCTGTTTCGATGTATGAAACGGATCGGCACTCGGCGAAGATGCCAACCTTTGATGCCCCGCTTCCTTTTTGTACTACATTAAACTCGCGGGAGCGTCCTCTTGCATCCTTGAACCTGACCACATCTCCGATTTGGATTTTCTTCGTCCAGTGAGGAGTGGCAACGACCGGCACACAAGTGTCGGGTATCCTTCCCTCGGGAGGCTTGACCCCCTCTTCCGCAATCCAGACGCAAGCTGAAGAGACGACCTGACCGAGGTCGTTTTTCACAGGTTTGATTTTGAGCACAGAAGGACCGGGTTGCATTGGCCCTGTGCGGAGTTTTGGTCCAGCAAGATCGAAGCTTATGCGGCACTCTGTCCCAAGTAGTTGCGAGAAGAAACGGATCTTCCGCACCATCTTCTTCCAAACTTCAGGATTATCGTGTGCGCAATTAATCCTGGCGATGTTCATCCCCGCTTTGAAGAGGTTGCGGACGAGAACGTCGTCCTCGGCAGCTTCGGAAGGAAGCGTAACCATGATCAGAGTCTTCCGTCCCGGAGGAGAAGGCCCAAGAAGAGCCTCGGAGTGCTGAGATAAAATAGAGTTTCCAGCTTCAAAAGAGATATCATCCACTCTAGAATTCTCAGCTTTCTTACTGCGATCACTGTTTTGCCGCTCGGAGATTGATGGAGGCGGGAGAGGCTTACTCTCTGTCTCGCCATCCAAGCATGAAGACTGGATCTGCGACCCTTGCAGAAGCGAACGCAGTATTGAGCTGATCGAATTAACGCTTGCCAATGTGTGCGCTTCGCAGCCCTCCAGAGATGACAACCCAGAAGACGCAAGCCGTTCTTGAAGGTTGGCTATGTCGAGCGATCGGAACGCCACGTAGTGTAGCAAGTTTCGCGCACTGTCGTAATGTTTTCTGTGAACCTTCTTCAGTTGAGGAGAGTACCACCGTTCAAAAGCCAAAGCATGTAACCTGATTCCTTCCAGCTGGTCAATAAGGTCCATGAGCGTGCTGTCATAGTTCGCAGCTGAGCTTGACGACAGAGTTGTAGGCGTATCACTGTACTTCTCCACGCTGTGCAAGCTTTTCGCGGTGATAGAAATCTCCCCCTCCGTCTCCGCAGGACGAGACGTTGCTTTCTTCTTCCTGGTGATCTTCTTTTTCTCCATCAGTAATTGGTTGAAGATGTTTGCGTCCACATACTTGTCATCGTCGAAATCCTCGTGGTCACTGTCGATAATTGAGAGCGGAATCAACGTTCCCGCTGCGGACATCACAGCCGTGGGCGTGGCATTTCCCACCACCTGCAGCCTGCGAGAGGTCGTGTTCTCGTTGCCATGCGCGGGAGTTTTCGTCTTGGACTTAATCTTCCTGTCAGAGCTTGATCCATTTCCAGCGGCCCTACAGATCAATTTCCTACCTATCTTCTTTGACTTTCTAATCAAGAGAGGTCCTGATCCGCAATCCCACTGTCCATGATGTCGGGACAAACTCCGTGGTTCAGTTGCAGTGTGGAACAAAACGCTATAACTGCTCGTCGCTTCAGAACTCACAAATTTAGCTCCAGTGACGGTGCCCTGAAATCCAAAGACATTCAACGTATCAAATGCTGCACATGATCACGAGAAGGTCCCGGTAACAGAACGGACCCTGGTTTCCATGTCCTTTACTGTATTCTAGGGTTTAAGAATCACTGTCTAGAAAAGTCCTGTCCAGATGGCGCCATCTGATTCTCTTTAATGAGTTTTGCTGTTTCGAGATGTCAACCTGGCTTGTAATTTGAGAGCAAACTGTAAAGAAACCAAAACAAAGGCAGGCGAAAATGCTCAGCGGATCAGAAGTTGGGTCTTACCATTTGGCCTCGACACAAAGAGCTTGATTGAGTCACAAGAGCCCGTGACATTGCTCGGTTTTCCGCCCCTTCTTGAAGATTTCGAAACCAATAATCTCCTGTCACGAAATATTTCAACACCAGTTAAGCGTACTCTCACAAAATCGGTCAAAAGCTTGAGCAAAAATGCGTTACAAACTGCGTTGGCTTCGTGCATTCCATTGGAAGCAATATCTAGTGTAGATGACAGTGAATCTGAATCCGAACCTAGAAATGCTGTCGCAGTCGATTCACAAGTGAAGGAAGGAGATGGATGATACCCTCCTGTTGCTGATAGCCACCGAATACAAGCAAGTGTGCTTATTTTGCCGCGTGCTGTACCCGCATGCAACTTCAGTTTACTAAGGAAAATTCCAAAGCAGCACCTCAACTTCGCAATGAGTTATGAAACCAGTCTAACAGAAGAGTTACAAGAGACGGCGAGCTCAACGAGTTTCTTCAAAGAACAGACCGCTCTAATCCTATTTCTAAAAAACTCAACTCGCAGTGCCAGTAAATCACTCCTACTTTATTTTGTGGAGAAACCAAGCCAATCGCTCGGCAACCTCGGTTGCTCTCCAAGTCCCAGTGCGAAACAAAGCTCTAGGAGAGTGTCGACAAATTAATAATGTTTTCGAAGTAGGAACTCATCAGTCTGTACGCTTAACGAATGCTACCAATGAATACAGCTAAACCTCAAAAGGTAAACAAGACGTGCGCAATTTTGTTTTACATAAACAAAATGTAACTCAAACAGAGCAAGCCCCAAGAAAAGACGAAGACGACGACGACGAGGAGCAACGCAAGCTGTTTCTGTGACGACAGGCGTTATGCCTTCCCCGGAGGCTAATTGCACTCCGAATCGCGGAACAGACCAACCGTACCCTTCTCTAGGCCCTGCAAGAGACTCACAACTCAACTCTGATTGCAGCTGCAACCGACACATCCGTCCCCTGCCGCCATTTCTCCACCTCGAAATGCAGCAACTGCATGCAGGTTTATATAAGCTATACAGTACAGTTAGGAAATCGGACTCAACTCGACTCGACTCAGCTCAACTCACTCACCACAGTCCTAGCAGGATTTGTACTCAACAAAATTGAGCAGGTAGGTGAATCCTTCTAAGCTACATGAAGCCGATGAGGTATGGGGTGGAAAGACGAGGGCTTTTCAGGGATTGACGACTCAAATATCTCCTTTTCCCACGACGCATGGCTCTTTAGTAGCAGTCGGTTGGATTCAGAAGCTGTTGGAAGGCTCGATGCTGATGCAAGAGATCCGTTTTGCAGCAGGATCCCGGTGCTACTCTAGATCGGCAAGGAATCGGAGTTCGGGCTTTGTGCTTTGAGCGGGCGTTGTGAGTGGTGGATGTCGTTGTGAGGGAATAAGATACTTTAAAAAGTCCGCCCATATGTTACATCGCCGTCGCACATCGTTGCGTTTCAGCTGCGGCTGCGATCCCAGATGGCAGTCTATGAATGAGTTTCCCGGTTGGGGGGTCGTGGCGCGTCCACCATCCAGCTTTCGGTGCGAGCTCGTGGGCTTAAGCAGCGTCGCGTAGCGCCGCGGGCGAGGCTTCTCGGCGACATCGCGGCCTCCGTTCAGTCCCTCGCGTCCTCTCTAACCTGCCCATCGTCGCCGATGCGTCCTACACCCACACACTCCCTTTCCCCTCTAAATAGAAATATATATTTGTCTACCTACTTACTAGTGGAAATTTGTGCACTTGGGTACACACAGAATATTTTTAAAATGGAAATATCTTCTACAGAAAGATCTACCAACCAGTACAATAGTGAATTCTTGTGGTTGCATGGTATTGTATTTCTTATTCATCTTTTACTTCAATCATGTAAGTAGATAGTTGATGGGTTGTAAAGGGTGTTTTTAAGGTCGTAGTGATGATTCTACATTATAAATATTTTCAAAGTGAGATTGTTTTTTGTTTTTTGTTAATTATTCCTTAAATAATAAAATCCTTTAATATATATTAAAACATTTCAAGGATAATCTAAACTTCAAATGGCATAATATTGTATTCAGAGTGTAAATATCATATAGAAAATTTTGTAGTCTGATGTTTTCTTTTTTTTAAAAAAAAAACTAAATATGTTTCTTAGATAAATTTTCAAAAAATCTTTAGTTTTCCTACTTGTTACAATAATTCTAAAAGTAGTGGTAATTGATTAAAATATATATATATATATATATATTGATTTAGTACCTAATAGTTGACGCACATCTATATTAATCTAACTTAAAAAATAAAATAATTGATCTTACCAGTTGATTAAAACTTTTGGTCATGTTTTTTCTAATCTTCCCTTATGATGCACTTAAATTGATTTTCCATAAGTTGCAATCAAAATAAAATGAGGTCGTGTTTTTCTCTTTTTCTTCTTTTGATTATTTTATTTTTTTCTTTTCTGATAAATTAAATTAATGATTAAAAAAAAATTAACATTTTCACATTTTTCTTCTCAGATAAATTTCTTAAGTTGTGATATTGGATAAAAACTATAACTGTCTCATCAATTAAAATTCTTAATAATATTGCAAAAATTAAATATATTATATAATAGAAGTCCAAGTATATAATCTAAGTAAATGAGTCAACCAATCAAGTTTAATAAAATAATATAACTTTAAGATCATATCATTAAATTTAGAACATTCAGATGTTTTGTTTTATTTATAATTTAAAATTTTTAAGAATATTAAAAGTTCAGGCTTTTTGAGTTAAAAAGCAATTTTCATTTTTATAGAAAATCAGAGTAAGGATAAGATTAAAATAGAAAAATATGTACATATATATTTATAGGTTGAGTCTACTCCAAATTCTAGTTTATCAAAAAAAAAAAATCTTTTTTCAATGGATAATGGTAGTATTATATATTTTCATATATTTCTTAAAAAAGATAACAAATTTCAAATATATCTTAAAATTATAATAAATAATTCTCAAATATGTGAAAATTTTACTTTTCATGCCAAAAACAAAAAATCTACACAAAAGAGTTCTATTTTAGAATATAATTATGTTTTAAAAACCAAAAACATTTGTTGTTCTTGAATATTACCTGCAATTAAGTATTCTTATAAACAAATAAATCTTTAAATCTCAAATTCTCTTAATTTTTTTTTTTAATTTAAGATTAATAAGTTTAAATGTTGATGTCAAGTAATAATAACTTAATATAAATATAAATACAAATATTTTTTAATTAATTTAATATAATCATTTGATTATTTATCTATTTATATTATAATAAATTATGATTTTTTAAATAGCCTTAATATAATTAAGACCTATCTTATAGAAAATTTAATGCACTAGTTCAAAACTCAAATTTGTTAAAATATAATTTCTTATTAGTACTACATAACTCTCAAATAATAAATATTTGATCGTATGTTTCTAGTATCTTAGCATGTAAGTTGATCTAATATATATATATATATATATATATATATATAAAAGAAAAACTAAGCATAATATATTCTTGTGAGGAAAAATAAATATTTTTTTAATGTTATATGCTGTCCATTGTATTATATCAAATTAAAACTTATAAGGAAAATTTGTTGAGAAAGCTATTGCATATTCTTCTTGTATTATTGTCACGGACATACATATAATTACCTATATGAATAGATAAAAGTATGTAAAAGTAGGTTAATTGTGTAATATCTTCTAGAGAAGCTTCTTAGAAGCTTCATAGACGCTGCTTTGACTTTATAGGAGTCTATAGTTGACTTTTAGGTTAGAAACTTGGTCAGCAAGTTAGCCATGTGCCACGCATGTTGGAAGCTTAAAGAACAAGCTAACTACGTGGTCCATCGATAGAAAACTTGCCTTGCAAGCAAAGGCATGTGGCCTAGAAAGTCAACATATACTGGAGGTCTTATAGAACATCGCCACGTGGCTTCTAGTTAGATAGTATATATAGAGGCAAGAGTGAAGCCCTCTTCACTCTTGTCAACTCCTTTCTTGCTTCTAGTCTAGTTTCAAGGGTCTCTAGTTTTCTTGTATTTTGGCAATAGCCATTCCAGTTTCTTTCTTAATATACATATTTCTATTTTGTCCTATTTCTTTTTGAGAAAAGTCTCACTTACTCTTTAGCTTTTATCGAGTTCTTGTCCTTGACAATTATAATATTCTATTTTTAACATTTTATTTATTATAGGATTAATTTTATGCTACTTCAATGTATTTAAATCATTACTATTTCAAAAATATATTCTAAATTATACTTGAATAATGATTATATATATATATATATATATATATATATATCTAAATGGCAAAGTTCTTTTAGTGATATCAGCATTTGTACTAAAAAAAATTTAATTTTTTAATCATACACAAAATAACTTAATAAATAGTATTATTCAAAAGCATTTATAGTAGTTTAATAGAATCTAATTACAATTAATAGATATACTATGCCTTAATAACTGTTTCTATGTAATAGAATCATAAATCAAAAAATAATTCTTACTATAATATAAAATTTATAATCTTATAAATATAAGCAAATGAACATGAAAAGTTTTTGGATGATACAATGAATAAACAGATGTTTCTGCCATGCTATCAACTTTCCAATATTTAGATAATGTAGGTCAAATTTTTAAGTATTGCAATTCTAATAAATTAATTCTTCCCTCAAGCAGATGTTCCAATGAGTAAATTATTATAGATAAAGATTTGGCATCTAAGTTTGATACCAAGAGCCACAATCTCGGGTCTTTAATTGTAATGTGCATTGTCTACTTTGCAAAGAATATTTGTCATTCTTTTGTTCGGATCCTATTGTTATAATGCTATTTGTAAAGATTTTTTTATTATTTGGTGATCACTTACTTCCTTCCAAAAGTGTTTAGAGCCCCACTTACTAACACATGTTGTTTCCAAAGCTAAGTAATATGCTCTAAAGCTACTTGATTATAATATGCAACGTTTTTCAAATTATGATAATAAAAAACATCTATTTATTTAAATTTTAAATTTTAAATTTTATAATCCCAAAATCCAAATATATATATATATATATAAGGATCGATTCAATAATGATGATGCAAATGTAATCAACAAACAGCTTACAATTTATAAAAGATTATCAACCTACACATATAACATAGGTTGTAGAATCTCTAATAATAATCAGTAAATATTTACAACATACTATAAATGGGTACTTTTATACCTTCAAATTATCATGTAACAAATAAAGAATAAAGAAAACAAGATCCAAATGTATGCATCTATTACTTCACAAAGTTAGATGAAAAGAATGTTGTACACATTCCATTAAAACAAAAAATAAATAAAAAGAAACTGGATTTCCATTATATTTTATAGAGGGACTTTTCTTCATCCAAAATGCACACGATGTTTTCAGTCCAACTACCACATTCATCTATGCCACCGAGGAGAATCACGAGTTTCACCGGAACCCTAAATTGATTAAAAACCTAATTTTATTCTCGCGCGTCACCGCAGCTGTCGTGTATTCGGATTCGTCGCCGGAAGCGATCGAGATTCATTTCATGGTGATGGTAGTTGTGGTAGTAATCGTGTTAAAGCCAAGACTTCGTTACGACTTCACAGGGCCATCGCGGATGCGAACGCTGTCGACACTGGATGGACAGGAGCAGGAGTATGGACCAGTGGAGCCTGCTGGAACTGCGAGTTGCTCGATTTGATTTGATTGCACCGCCTCGTCAGGACGAGACGGCTTTCTGCGTGTGTCAAAATGCGAGTGGAAGCAGCTTTACACGTCCTTCCGACTCCTGTTCAGTGTATCGTACTGTTCATTTGTTTAGGTCTGTCGATTATCTCTCATGGACACTGCAATCGTGTGAGGCCTGTGGTGTCCAGAGCGCCCCTTCAACTTACATGCTATGTGTGCTTGTGTCGGAGGCGTTTCTTTCGTTTTCCTTGTCCGTGTATTCTCTTTTCGTAGTTCCTTGTTTGAATAATGGAAGTCCTGTACGAGTTACTAGCTCAAGCCGAGTTCACATTTGAGCATGTAATAACGAAGCATTCAGTCAGAAAGAATTTACCCAACATTTTTGCTGGGAGTTGGCGAATTTGCATCCCCAAGAAATACGGCCGTAGCGGAACAGGTACCTTGTACTGGATGAACAGAAAATCCAGATGGCTCCTCGCACCAGAACATTTTAATAAACCTTAAATTGCTAACCCTTTTCCATTGATCACAAATGATTTTTTGTGCGTGTTTATATATATATATAGATATATAGATATATATATATATATATATACGTACATATACACATATAGCCTTAACCTTGCACTCCTTTTAGGAACTCCCAACAATTGGTTGCCCATCAGCTCCTCACAAAATAGGAGGCAGCTACCCGACATCCATGTCTGTAGACACACATGGATGGAGGACGGATGAAGAGCAAAAAGGTCAGAGTGCGAGCTGCGTACCAGTGCTGCGAAATCGAAGAAATACCATGGGAACTGCAAAACTGATCCACAAGTCCTTCCCATCAAACTCAAAATCACGCTCACCGACCAGCAACAGCAACAAACGCAGGCGGCCACATCATTTCCCAAACTCCGAATCTCATTCGAATTTTTAGACCTGCATTCAACGGGGGCGTAAAATCGGTAGTAGAAACCCTAATGACCATTATTGGTTAGAGACCCACTTTTGAGTTCCTCCACCTTATCTACCCTCTCCAATTATATTGGCGCGAGCACGAGCCAAAGACCAGACAAATCCGCATCCGCTAAAGACCCGAGATGATGAAAAGACACCCACCCATGGGATCCATCAATCACAATGCGCAAGTCAAAAGCGAGAGGGAAAGACTAGGGAAACGGCGCCAACACGTAAAGGGGGCTCACACCCAGTGCTTCAAAAGCTCTGGGAAAGACTGCAGCTGTCATACCTCGCCTTGTCGCATTTGGCTTGTTGAATTTCATGCCCCGCTGCTCGCCGAAGAATTATGCCCTACCACACTCTTTGTCCCGTGAAGCAAATGGAGTCGAAGTGAGAGCCTCGCCGCGGGCTTCGCTCAATCGCTGCAATCCTCGCAAACTTGCCGTGCTTCTTTCTCTTTCCATGCCTCATCTTTGTTGAGGAATCATGAATATCCCACACAAAAATTTATTTGTTTAGCATTTCAGTTTTGGAAAAGTTCTTTTTCTTTTTCTCAGAAATCTTTGTACGATAAAGTTCATTCCGTGTTAAAAAGGTATGGAAGTGATTGGTGTATGGAGTAAAGCCTCGTTCAAGTTGTTTTTGATTTTTTTGGTGCTGGCTTTTTCGGAGGATGGGAACACAAATGCTTGTTCAACACCTGTTTGAAATTGCATGACTTTTATTGTAGAAGATGTTTTGACGTGCATGGATTGATGTGTGTGTGTGGGTGTCTATGCATTTATCAGGATTTTCTTTTCAAGAATTAAAATATATCTTTCATCCGTTTATGTTTAAATTAATATTGATAATCAAAATTTTGTTGAACTAGAATTGTGACAACACAACAACCATTTTTATGTTTTAATATATATATATATATATACATACATATTTTAACACAAATATCATTTCGAATTCCTAAAGTAGACTTTCTCAAATTATATGAAAGACAGAATAAAAATTTAAATACCAAAAAAAATACTTCAACAACTTCAATATTGTGACATGCAATAGACACACACACACAAACTTATTTTCTTCACCACACTATAATTGTTAAAAAAAAAATCATGGAAATGTTCCCCATTCATGAATTTGCATGAACATGAAACAGCATAATCTACAAATTCCCCCTTCGCATTCAGCTTTAGCTTTAGCATTTATCAGCAACAGGATTGTACTTTACATATGTATTTTTTCTCTTTCTTTTTTTGGCACAAAGAGTTGACAAAGTTGTGAAAGGTGGGGGTGAAGAGCGCCTCGGAATGTATTAGAATACATCGGCACGGAAGTTTCCGCCCCATCGATGAAACCCCTTCTTTTCGCAGCTTCTGATGAACTGGGTGCGATGAATTTTAACCACGAAGAAGGCCATGCATGATCTGACAATCAAGCTGCTCAGTTCCTCCAGGAGGATCGATCGGTGCTCTGTATCCATGCAATCGCAGAATCGTGAAAGACGTCGACATGCAGCAGTTGATCGAAGACAGTGGCAGCTGATTGTGGCATTGCAGGATTTGAAAAAACATGGCGTGGCCTGGCGATCGACACAACGTCGAAGCAGTTCCAATTTCCCTACTTGCTCTGGTAATGCACAACTTTTGGGAAATTTCCTCTTGTCGAAGTCTGGTGTCTACGTGGCTGTCGAGTTCCTTCGTATGGTCCATATCTGTTGCCGTTTCTCTGGTGATTGTCTGAGGACATTGATTCAATGCCCAACACTTTTCATGTGAAGAATTTGTGAGTTTCCTCCATGTATAATTTCGTGCTGACGACCCATGACGCCCGGATTTGGTCGATCATGCGTTTCGCAGTGTCGGTGTAACGCCTCTTTAAAAATTCGGCTGCTGTTATTGTGAGATACAATCTGTCGCCACATGTAGAAATCCTCGCGTATACAGAGAACCCGTGATGCCCGTGGCTTCTCTCCGCTTCGAATCTTGAGACAGAATTTTCGCCTGATGCAATCACAATGGCGCGAGTAGCTGGGCGCCATACCACTACCGAAATAGGTACAGAGAGAAATTACGTTCTGGAGCAAGGTCTCGTACCATTTCTCCCAGATGACGTTGCCCTCCAATGTCTCCTACGAGTTCCAGCGAAATCTCACCCTCATCTGCGGGGCGTCTGCCGAAAATGGAGAGATCTAGTTAATAGCAGGCAATTCTACGAGCTCCGGCAGAAGGAGGGCACCACGGGGCGTTGCACATGCTTGCTGCAAGCCATGCAGCAGAGAAACTCGCACCAGGCTCCCGTATTCGGGGTGAGCCTCTTGAACGAGAAAAATTCATGGGGAAGGCTGCCACAGCTCCCCGATTTCGATCATCACAGCCTCCCGCTCTTTTGCCGATTCGCATCTGTCGAGGGGAATCTAGTGGTGCGCGGAGGATGGGACCCCTCAACCACGGAGGACCTTCAATCGGTCTACATCTTCAGCTTCTCCTCGAGAACCTGGCGCCGCGGTGCGGATATGCCAACGACACGATCCTTCTTCTCATGCGGTGCCCTAAATGGTCACATCCTAGTCGCTGGAGGCCACGACGCAGATAAAAACGCTCTTCGCAGCGCCGACTGCTACAACCTCAGAGAAAACTGCTGGAAATCGTTACCAAACATGAGCGCTGAACGTGACGAATGCGCGGGTGCCGTTCTTGATGGAAAGTTCTACATCATCAGCGGATACCCTACACTCTCGCAAGGGGAATCCTGCCGCGACGCCGAGATTTACGACCCCGAGCTCAACAAATGGATGCCATGCCCAAACATGTTTGGGCATGCTGGCTCTGGAGTCCAAGCCCGAGAGACCGAGCAGCGTCATTGCCACGGCGGGTCGTCTCTTCGCCATCCACCGCAACGAACTTGTGAGCTACTCTACAAAGAGAAACTTCTGGGAGGTGGTGGACACGATGCCCGGGGGGGATGCAGGAATTGCCTATGCTACCTGCGCCACGGCGTTCGGCAACAGTATCGTTGTGACTGGCCCCTCCAGTAGCGATGGGGGGAGCCACAGAACGCTCCTGTACACATTGCCATCTTCAGCGGTGCCAGACAGTAGGTTGGGGTGCAAGCAACTTGGGTTGGGAGATGGTGCCTGTGCATGAGCCATACCTGGGCGTTGTTCAAGTGTCCTGCGTCGTCGAGGTTTGAAGGTCATTGTAAGCAGGTTGTATCATAGATCATGTTCTGTAAATAGTTTCTTTCCGTCAATCACATGTAGCCTGCACGTTTGTTGTTTCTACCGACGCGTGCAGAGCACAGTCGGTGATCCATTTAAGCAGTCACACTGCTATGGCAGTTTTGAAACTTACAAATCATGAATACACATGTGGGCATGGTGCAAATCAGGACAAGTAGAAAACATGTAAACCCAAAAGTGTTTCCATCAAATAAATCATCTATCTCTATGCTGTCAGACTGCAGGAAATGCTGTTGACATTTCCACCGTACTTTTATACAGCGAGGAATACCTAAGGAATACCTTGGAATCCCCTTCGCCACTCCATGCAGCCTTCAATGTCATCACCATCTCACAAGGGTAGAAAAGATGCCTTCAATTGATAACATCAAATCTACCAATTAAAACCTGACCAACGAATACCTGAACTACTATCTTATTCATTCCAGCGATGTTAGTGTGAATGAGCCACCGTCACAGCGCTACTTTGTCGTTCCCAACTAGGAGCGATGACACAAAGCCTTCAGACTTGGGCTGATGAAGTGTGCCAAGAACGTCTTTCACATTTAGCGCCTTGATCCTTCTTCCCGCACGGGCAAGATTTACTATCTCTTCTCATTCCTAAGCTGTACCGCGGCGAAGTTATACACCAATGACATAAATGAATTCCATCTCTGACAGTCATGTAAGAACGCCCCCATGAGTCCCATTTTTCGAAATCGAAGGGAACTGGTTAGATGTACAAGAGTGAAAAAGTGTGGACCTTCTCACACCATGTACCTCATTCCGAGCGCATTGATGACACAGACTGAACATCGCTGACGTCCCGAGGTGCGAACCCCATGTTTTCGTTCCACTGATCCAGCAGGTTGTTGAAATTGTCGTGAACTGTAGCCTGTAGCCAGTCGGGATCCGGCAACGCACTGCATCGAAATCCATGTGAACATAATCTTAGCACGACAGCAGAGTTATAGCTTGGACACACAATCCGACGAAAATACACATACGAATAATGCAAAGATTAGGGAATTAGGTCACAGCACGATGTGAGACCTGTCAAGATCCGCTCCACTGGTCATGTATGTTTCCTTCATTCGCTCTTCTTCCTGAGAGATTGCTTGATTCACAGTCCTGGACAAAAACCCCATATTTCTTGCAACAGTAGCAAGAAACTGCATGTCTAGAAGAAACTGCTGAAAACCAAGAGGGCCTAGGCTACTTGGCTCCTCTTCAATCGTGCCCCATAGTTCCGGACTAGTGCTCAAAGCTTTGACAAATGTCTCAGTAAGACGTATAAGGAACAGTTGTGTGATCCTCTCCTTCCCAGCTAGCACATCTCCAGCTATTTGGTGTATGGATATTAGCTTGTGAAACACAGACTGCAAGCCAGGTTACGTGTCAAAAGAAGTTGGATGAACACCAAAAACGGAAAGAATACTTGAAAGGAATGAGTCAAGTGATTTGAAAAGGAGAAGTTCTAAAACATACCTGAAAAAGAACAGTTGGCAAGGGAGCCTCCTGCCATCTCGGCATATCGGAATCAACCTGGAAATAGGTTGTTGCACTTAGCCTGCTTCCATACTCATCATAGCATAAGCCTATGATTATTCCATTGCAAAGATAGAATTTTAATTTCTCTACGTGAGTCTGCAGCTGGCGCCGCAGGTCTTTGATTTCAGGAGACCGGGCTGCCGCTGTTGAGGAGCGAGGAGCATTTAATTCTCCCGCTAAAACTTGCACGCCACCTGGCAAAATTTTGGAAGCTGCGACTGCCACAATCTCATCCGCAAGGCTAGTAGCATTTCCTAATAGTGACAACTGCTGCTCCTCGTTGGAGGCCACCCGAACCTGCAGAGAAAAAACCCAGCGGCATAGAATTCTCTTTGTGAGGGATGAACACATCACTTGGTAAGGCCACAGCCTATGAACCACTCAAGCAGTCACTGCTAATGTGTTAACTCGAGATGTTTCAAATTCGGTTTGGAAAGAAAAGAGAAATTGAAGCATACCTTCCGTTTACTTTCTTCTTCAGGCTCTTGAGCAGGTAGCGCTTTAATAAGCATTTCAATATATTGCTCGAAAATATCAGCTACACCCTCCATTGCAACCACACCCAACTGAATGCCGGCAAGTGATGGCATGTCTTCTAAGAAGTCCTGATTCATTACCGTCATTGCCAGCAAATGCCTCAGATCATCACAAGCTCAAATAGGCCTCAGTTTGAAACTGATGAAATTGGAATGAAACTGCAGAAAAACGATTTTGAAAACACCCACCTGCACCAGAGAGAAAAAGCGGTGGCCACTAGAAGTCAATCTAATATTTGATCCAACTCCTCGTGAACCCCGCTGAGGAGCATCAACGATCCAGCTTTCACTTGCTGCCAATGAGCCCACAATTTCAATGATACTCGTCAGATTTGCCTTCATGGCCTGTTCTACACTGGGTCGTATAAGCTTTGATAGTGTAGGACATAGTGTCAGTCCTCGTTCTTCCAGCAATGCACAGTGCCCAAGAGCAATTTGAACACATTCAACAGCTGCTCGGAGACCTCCAGCCGCAGCAGATGTCAGCAATACATTCCGTTTTACAACTGCGGCACACATTTCAGTAACCTCGCCTGCCCAGAGGACTAGCTCGGAAGCATATGACGGCACCTCACCAAACACGGCCACTGAGTCCCTTGATGCCTGCACCAACAATAAGATAATGCATGAGATAAAGCAATATGAAACACAATTACATCGTGTTTCCGAAAGATAGATTGGATTCCTGCAAAAAAGAAAGGGTTTACCTCAAGAAAATCCTCACCTGGGCAATAGCAGAAAAGACTAACTGTGAAATGGCAGTTGTGTAAACACCCCCATAAGAGGCTCCACTCTGTCGAAGCGAATTCATGCTATGCTTCAACCTCTCCTCATGGGACTGCAATAGGAGCGTGTGTGCCCTCGAACCATCACCTAGTCTATCCAAAGCGGAAATCGCAGATCTAAGCTCGAGCCCTCTGACAGTGGGTTGTTGGACAGCTTCCGCTAAGTAAGCAGCCAGCCCTGCTGTCCTCTCTGCTAAAGCCATCTTTAACTGATTAATAAAGTCTTCACTTAAACCCTCGGCTCCACCATTTCCGTTGTAGAAGTCTGCGATCAGAGCCTCGCCTTCGTCAAGCAAAGAAATTGCCTCATCCACTTTCCTTTCTGCTAAGAGCACGTCCAGTACGTCCGGAAGAAGCTCTGCTCGCCTCACCACGTCTGTGCGTTCGAAGTCGTCCTTGTAATATTCCTTTTCAAGAGTGCCACCCGATGATTTTACTGGTATTGAAGCTGCACTCTGAGCCAAAGTACGGATCAGAGCTGCTTGGGAATGAAGCAAGTTACTCATGGCCGTGATCTCAGTCTCCAGGTCTGCAATCTCTTTCGACGTCCTTCAGAACCAAAAAGACAAGAAATATTGTCACTTTCCAACTCCTCTTATACCAGCTCGTATTGATGTAAAATTCGATCCAAGCTGACGCGTTCCCATGTCAAACAATCCACAGCAGCCGTATTCCAAGATTGGCTGAAATCTAAGGCAGCAAAATTGAAAAAGAACTTGTATTATTGCCAGGGTCTCGCAGGTAAGAATAAGTAATTACTCGATAAAGACAGTGTAGTTTTGAAACACGCTTTTTCGCATATCGTTTTGATGTATTTTCTGCAAATCCATGAGCTCCTCGCATATCCTTCGAATGCCCTATCAAACAAATTAATATAACGCAGTTAAAAGAAGGTGCCCAACTCTCGCAAACGGCGGGCGATTGCAGTACGTCATTCACATCATTCAGATACACTGAGTACACCAAAGTTAAGGCAATCAAGTTACCTTCGACCAGCTGATAATAAAAGACAAACAAGAAAATATCAACAAGAGTGGTCGACTGTTGACTGCATTGAGGAATAAACTAGAGAACGTAGCTAGTCGCTGCATGATGATTCAGAATTTCTTAAATATTCTGATGTTAAAGTAGTGCAAAACAAGATTTTGGGCACTAAGGAGGAAGTGTATCTGTCTATCGCGTAGATACATCAAATACAAAGCTCGTCGAGAGTCCGAACATGTCAGCTGCGATGTCAACTACATACAACCCAGCGATTCCGCGATGCTAAGTGTCTGCCAAGCTACAAATCCTGGCTTCTGTCTTGGGCAGCGAGCACAACAGGGACGACTTAAGCATACCTTTTCCCCCAAGGATTGCCCCTTGTGGGGATCCACAGAGCTCTTCGGACCGGCACCCCTCCTCTCATTAGCTCTATCCTGCTCATCGCGGTAGGCGTCGTAAGTAGACCTAGCACTTGGTGGAGGTGGCGCCCTGGAAGGAGGAGCGTGAGCCCGAGACCTTACAGAGGGCTTCGCTGACGCCATTGCAGCGCACTCACCAGTGGCGCTGAATCCCTACACCTCCTTCCCTCACACTCACACGTCTCCTTTCTAGCAACTGTGCAGCTTCAACACCCTTGCACACGATCCACCCGACTAGGTCATCATTCCAAATCCATCGTCCCGCCACACACCATTCCGATCCCCTCAAAACAAAACTCTACCCCGCCAACTCTCTCTCAACCATCACTCGAAATTCGAAACCTCCCCTAATGAACTAACACACGCACACGCGAACTCCGAAATATTCCTCGCGCTATCCACGCTGAGTCGTCGATAAACCCCAGATTTCTATCCCCTCGCAATGTCCCATATCCCACGCTCCCACCCCATCCCTTTGCACCAGTTCCATCTCCACCATCCCACAGCACCACCACTTTTGATCACCACATCCGACGCTAAAATCTCAAAAAGCCACGAAAGCCACATGTACTTCAAACACGCAAACTCCTCGTGAGGTGATACTAGAGGAATTCAAATCCCCGATTCGATGTGTTGCGGTACAGTGCCGATCGGAGACACGCAAACCCAGACTGAGTCGTCACTGCGCATTGAAGGGAATACCGCGAGAGAGCCAAAGAAATTGGAAACCCATCTAGAGAACGGCAGCTTGAATCCAACTCGGTAGAAGCAAATGCGGATTCTCGAAGAGGAAGGAGATGGGTAGTGCCGCAACGCGAGCCCGGCGAGGCGCGATGGCCTTCCTCTCTGTTGACTAGCGAGCTCGCTCCGATCCAGGGGGATTGAACATGCTGAACCGAGATGGCCCAGCCCAGGCCGGGTCGGGTTGGTTCGTGTGCGGTAGGGACGGGTCACCGGGTCCTCCCTGTGCTTTGCTATGTGTCACTTGACAACGATGGATTGAAAAGGTATACAATTCATGAGAGATCAGGAGGTCTCCTCCCTCCTACTTTGCAACAAAACACGTGCCTTTTCTCCCCCATGCATTGTGGTCAAGCTTGGTTTCTTCCAAATATAGTATTCTTTAGTGGGACAAAGAATTATCTTCTTCGTCCTTATAGTCGAAAGCGAATTCAACAAAATAGAAAGTAATAATATTCAATGTGGCAACATTCCCCATGTGATGGAGTTTCGTCGTCCAGGAGCTAACGACTTACATCCAGGTGGAGATTGTGACATTAATCTACCTTGGGATGAACTCCTGCCATGCTCCAAGCTTCGTTTCCTCGCAATCCAGTCCCACATGCCTCAGCTTCAGTTTCATGTCCTTTGCAATTGCTTTTCTTGAACCTCGACATTGCTATTACTATTCGCCAATTTTTTTACGTTGCTCTGCTACTGGATTTCGGTTTTTGTCGTTGCATTTGCTGTTATGGCCATGGCAATCGGCGCAGCTGTGGTGAACACGGCAACGCAGGCTTCCTTGCAGTTAAACATGGCCACGGGTTCCCACGCTTCCGCTGCCTGCCCTTCATTGTCATCCCGGACTTCTGTTGCATTCTCTGGTATTGCGCATTTTTTTCTTTTTTCTTTTTTTTCGTTTTCTTTGGTCTACTGCCGTTGTGAGCTTTGTAGGAATTGGAAATGTGGGTTTCGTTTTCCAGTGCGCTTTTGAGGGTTAAGAGGGGTTTAGGGTGGAGTTCGATTATGATGAGATATGAAGTAGTGGATAGGTTTAGATTTTACTTGTGCGTAGGGAAGTCTTATACGTGATCAAACTACTGCGTTCGATTAGCGATTATGTGCTATTTGTTGGCAGGTTTTGATGCTGCTGCGTTGAAGGCGAACAGCATCCTGGGGAGGACCAGTTTCTCAAGTTCGACCAGGTTGTTCGTCAAGGCCGCTATGGAGGTGGACATTGCCAAGGTTTGTGACGTTGCTTAGGTTTGCATTAAAACTTGAATTGCATTAAAGAGTCCATTTTTATGAAGAGCGTTGCTTAAAGGAGTATTTGTGGCGAAGGTTTTGATCCGTGCATGGAAGTGGATTTAAGTTTGATATTATTTGGTCTTGTATGAGCAGATTGTTCCTCAAGCCGACCGGGTGTTGATTCGTCTCGATGCACTTGCTTCTGTAAGTCTTGGTTCAATCTCGTTGTCTTAAATTGCGACGTTTGGACTGTCTCACTCTCACATTCTCATTTTACCCCTTCAGAATCATGTTAGCGTCGTTTTGCTTTACGCTAGTCACTGTCACAAGTGATGCATTTTTGCTAAAATTAACTTTCCTCTTTCCGTCACGGTTATGTGTCTGTTGAATTGTCTATGTGATGGTGAGGCGAACTCTTTCGGCGGTCTCTTAAAGGAGCTGGATCATTTCTGGATCACTTTTCTACTGTGTAATTATTGGAATTCAAGAATGTCTGAGTTTTCCATCTGTCTGCAGACATCTGCCGGAGGGGTGCTGCTTCCAAGTGCATCCGTCAAGTATGACCGATTTCTACAGGGCGAGGTAATCGTTAGATACAACCTTGGGATTTACTTGCGTCCAGGTTTGCCTTGGATATTTCCAATGTGTAGAAGTATGAAAAATAATCAGAACACACGTAAAGATTAATCAAGTCACTGTATCCTAGAGATCGAGTGTCATGCGAAACCCAAGACCCAACTCTGACTTCAACTAATTTTTCTGTCTCGGTTGTCTTATATATGTAAGAAATTTCTGGGTATGAATTTCTTCGTAATGCGTTTTTCTCTGCCACAGGTCATTGCAGCTGGATCAGAGGCCACTGATGTAGTAAAGGGGCAAAAGGTACACTTAGGCTGTCCTTACTGGCTGTATAGCCATTCATCCTGTAATCAGGTTCTCACAAGTTTGTCATTTGGCTCTCTTCTATCAGTAAAGGACAAGTTTAAAATATCCTGTTGGAATTGTTAATATGTGCAGGTCATGTTCGCAGATATTAACGCATATGAGGTACTACCTTTTTCACTAAGTTCAACTGCATTCTTTTCTTTTGGTAGTTTTTTGTACACTGTTATAAAGAATTTTTATGTTTCTATATGATGCAGATAAAAATTCTTAAATTTGAAAGCTCGTGACCATTTGTGTGCCGATTGTGCAGGTTAATTTTGGAACATCGGATAAGCTATGCTTATGTCGCAGTGGTGATTTATTAGCCGTCCTTCAGTGATTCCTAGAAATTTCTGCCAACTTTGTAGACTGTCAATGTGAATCCCGAATTTGCACAGGAAACTACTCCTTATTAAAAGGGTGTTAGCAGAAATGAAGTCGACTTCCAGCTTTCCAGATATTGTGTAGATTTCTGCTGTCAATTTTAGAAAAAGGTGATCCTGTGTCAATGTCTTGCAAGAAGTTGCTCATTGACATAGAAAAGCTCATCTGTTAAGTTACTTACATCCTATGTTCTTAGTTGCAACTCTCATCATCTGAACGGAATTGAGCGTTCAGGAAATTGGTCCGATTGTTAAACAGCCCAGCTGCCACCTTTGTGTAATAGAATTCCACTAAACAATGCGTTGGACTACTATGTTGCAGTGAATAAGAGGGAGAAATACACATTATTGCCATCTTAGTCCACTAGCCACAGCTTGGCTTGAAAAACTGGGTTGAAATCTCTCAAATCTGAATGTGCATTGGCAATGTTAAAGTTCTATTGATGGATAAAACTAGCATAACAAGAATTGTTGGAACTTTTTTGCATTTTTTTTTAATTACTTACACAGTAAAATTTGATCACCTTTTTGCTGCAACAAAAATCTAACGTCTCTTCGCTTCATTCTTTTATTAGATATTGATATTTCTCATTTTTTTCTATTATAATATTTATTTTAATAATTTTTTAACTCTTGGTTTGTCAAGATTTATTTTTTAATTGCCAATTCAATTATCATTACAATTTTTTATAAGTAAAATAACAATAATTCAAAGTTGTGATCTTAATCACAACATATATTATAGACACCAAACAATTTTTTATTGTAGTAATCTATTACTTATTGTCTACTATCATGCTACTTGTTGGTTTGTAAAGTCCTTAGTTTTAGTTTTTAATTTTTTCAATGTATATAATATAACACACTAAAAAGTTTGAGTATTATATAGGTTTTTTTGAGAAATTTATCTATTAATTTATTAATCTCGTGTCAAACTACCAATTTTTGAATGTAATCCTAGATACAAAGTCTCACATTCCTTTATGACAACCAAATGCAAAGACTTTGCCATATTGTGATTTAAGAAGTGGGAACCAGACAAGTCAAAAAAAGATACAATTCCGTCTACCTCCTTTGAGTATGGAAATTCCCACTTATGTCAAAACACATCATCAATAGATTTTTTGATTTTTTTTTTTTAAAAAAACATTCAACACTATATCACATGTATAATTTCTTTATTATTCGAATATTTACATGAACCCCGTATTGGATGTTCATCGAGATGGATGAGCTAGAAATGCGATTCGGAGATGAACGTCGTTCGTGCATTCATTCATTTGTTCATTCATTCATTCGTTCGTTCGTTCGTTCGTAGGTCTAGAGCACGCCCCCGGTGCAGCGCCGAAGGTGGACAATGAGCAGTAGAGGTCGTCGAAGTCAGCTGGCTTGGGAGGAAGGCGCCGGCAATGCCCGAGACCGGAGGCTGGAATCGAGCCAAATAGAGCTTCAAGGAAGCAGAGGACGAGGAAGAGGAGGAAGTGTTGCAACCCTTGTCTGCGAAGTCGGAAGCTACGCCAGCCAGCCCGCAAACCGCTTCTCATTTCGAGCAGGTAAGAGCACACACAGTTTCGAAGCCTTTTGCACTCTTAATGTTCCGGACAGCTCTGAGTCTCTAGCCAGCCATTTCCACTATCTTCTTGTGGTGTGTGACCACACAAACCGAATTTCGTGAAATGTGTATATATATTGTCTGAATCTGGATCGAATGGATGGTCGAGAGCTTTGGAGTGGAGGCGATTTCTGAGCAGCCTGGAATTTGTCGTTTGAAGAGGTTGTTGGAAGAATGTATCGGTGTCGTCGTTTGAATTTTCGTTCTGTGTTGGGTTTTTTTTGGCAAATTGGAATGTGAACCCTTGATGGCTTAGCTGGCCTCGTTCTACCTGAAGGGTTATAAGCTGACAGTTGTGATAGATTGTGTTATATGTCCTGCTCATCTAATGTAATTATTATAACGTTCGTGACTATTTTAGGTGGTTATGTGGCTCATTAGGGTGTCGAGAAGCCTTTGCATTTATACATCAGGTGCTGGGTTTATGTCTTGATCTAAGTCAGCAATAAGATGCAGACTAAAGAATATTATACAGTTTCATAGTGCGGTTGTTTCGCTAAGATTTTGTATCTTTGAACTCTAGCTCTATATCCCCTGAGGTTTGAATAGGGGTGGTTAGATGGTTCGCAGAAACGATTTGAAGCGAAGATTAGCTCGGTATTAGACTTAAAGAAATTAAGGATAGAGAATATGGATGTTACGTATGTTCAGTACTAGGTATGGTTTAAAGCTTTAATACGACTTTGAGACTGACGGTTAAGTTAACGAGGAATTTGGTGGTGTGAAAAGAGGGAGAAAGAAGCACTGAATGGCGGGGTCCGAGGATATGGGTGGGGAGAAAGGCGGACAGCACACTTCCGAGGCAGTTAAAACAGTCGTGGTTGTCATTGGTAATAAAACGACTCAATCTTACATGCCACCCCGTCTTCTCGCAGCTCAGCTTGCCCGTATTTTTTAATTGTAACTTTTAAATTTTGTAGTTGATGTGGATTTTTTGAGTAATAATGTAACCTTTCTTGTGTGTAAATGCTTGTTGCTAGCAATGCAGGCCGAAGCACTTCCCTTAGTGGAAACACTCCAGCTCGTGGAGGATGAACAAATCAGCGTGTGAGTAATTTATCCTCTTTGTACATAGGAACACGTTTTTATCGCTTTCCACATATTCCTATCGGCTTACATTGACTTCTACGGAAAGCCGCAGTTGTCCTTTGTTGAAAGTTTTCGTGAAATTTTTGCAGATTTCCTAGTGGAGTTCCATGGAAGAAGTACTCTGGAGAGATTGATGGTCTTGATGTCCACATTGTTGTTCCTGGAAAGGATAAGACGTTAGGTCTGCACTACCTCACTTGTCATTTTATTTCATTGACCTGGGAGTTCAGCTCTTGAACAAGAGCATTGCTAGTTTTGTCCAAAATGCTTATTGTCAGAGATATGACTTTGGGCTATATATGTTCTGCAGGTGTGGACAGCGTGGGCACTGTCCCCTGTTCTTTGCTGACTTACGCATCTGCTGTAGCTCTGCGACCGAATTTGCTTATTAACGCTGGCACTGCGGGTGGATTTCAGGTTTCTTCTTTACATCTTCTTTTTGGTTGTGCTAATATCTACTTGCAGGCATTCCTTAACCAGATTTACATACTGTATATCCGTCGGACATATTACTCATGCTCTCCATAAACTTATTGTGATTCAGTATTTTGGAGCACCATATAGTTTACTGCTGTATTTTTTGCAGCGCAGTCTTGAGTGACAACTGGACCACCAAGTTGCATTGTAATTGTATACTGTATTTATGATCCTAAATTTAATCGTTTCATTCCTGTTGCTTTTAGCGTTTACTACCAAATAACAAGACTCTTTTAAGCCTAAGAAGTACCTACAAGTCATATGTGATTCTTGCAGGCAAAGGGAGCCAACATCGGCGACGTCTATGTCGCGACCGAGTTTGCGAATCATGACCGCAGGATACCTATCCCTGTATGTAAATACCTTGAGCATTTATTTATTCATTTATTTATTTATTTTTATAATGACGTTGGTCTTTGTAGTCTTGTGGAGTTTCGTAGGTTTATTGTGAGAACGTGTCAAGATTGTCGTTAACATTCCTCGAAAGTAATTAAACTTATGCTTGATTTTCGAATGTAAATTTTGAAAATGCTGACTATGGCTGCCATTAAATTTCAGACCTCTTTGTCGATATCGTGCAGGTATTTGACAAGTACGGGGTGGGAACCATAGAAGCCACTCCCACTGGCAACCTCATCAGAGACCTTAAATTCAAGGTAATTTGTGATAAGGAAATCTAACTTTATGTGTTTGGAGTGCCAAATATAGTAAAAGAACGACTCAAGCTGGACTAAGAGGATGCATCTGTTTAGGGTATGCTATACTACAGCAAGCAGTTTTTTAAGCTGACTAGTTGATTCATCAAGCTGTCTGGGTCCTCATAATTTAACACGCTCCCTACGTGTTGCAGGAAGGAAAACTATCTACTGGAAACTCCCTGGACATGACATTGCAGGACGAAGAATACATAAAGGCTAACGATGCAACTGTCAAGGACATGGAGGTTAGCAGGCATTTACTAGCATATCTACTAATCTGTTCTAGCGAAATCTGCTTCGTGAGCTTCAACCACAAACTTTTAGTTTTTGCTAGTGGTTTGTGACGAGCTAGACTGAAGGTGATAGCTTTTCGCTTGGATTTTGTGGTGCAGGGTGCTGCTGTGGCGTATGTAGCGAATATGTTGGCCATTCCCTTGATCTCCTTGAAGGCTGTAACAGACATTGTAGACGATAGCAAGCCGACGGTGGAAGAGTTTCTGAAGAATATGTCCATGGCTGCTTCAGCCTTGTCCAATGCCGTGCCCCTTGTGCTGAAATACGTGTCTGGGAAGACCGTTGCTGATCTTCATTCTTCATGACAGGCTTGAGCGTTGGGCATCTGTCTCTGCACAGAGCCTCTTCACTGTAGAAGTGACTTCACATTGTTTTCATAATTTTCAAAATTATTTTGCAGCATTATGAGCTCCCTGATGCTGATCGATTATCTTTATATGTATTGACATTGATATGTCCAAATGTGCAAAGGAAAAGAAAAAGAAAAAGAAAAGGGTGTGGGTTTTAAAACATATTTATTGGAGCATTTTTCTTTGAAGAAGACTCGGAAGGGAGGGATGCACTGGTTACAATTGATGCTTGGTCAGTGTTGCTGACATGGTTCTCTAATACTTTTAATTCAGGGCCATGTCAGACGACAGGCGGTGTGTGTGCATCTGCTACCTAGGGATTTACACAGGACTGTACGCACGATCGAGACCAGATGTCTGCAGTGCTCACGATATTAAGTGGTCACAGATGGACTTTTTGTGCTTTTGGTTTCTGTATCAAGTCGGCTTCCTCTTGTGTAGGATGCAGAAGTTGCTCCTAGTATTTAGGTTGCTGAGTTTACCCTTTCTGTCCACCTCTGTGCAAATTTGGTTTATTGAATGACAAATCAATAATATTTTAGAGAGGATGGATGCACAAAATTGTAATGTAAGGAATTTTTCGTTTTTATCGGTATGTTCATGTAACAGTATATATATTTGACGACTCAAAATATGTCCATTTTTTAAGACAAATTCTCTCAAACAAGTCTAGGAGGTTCATGAGAACTAAAAAGTGCACTAGTGCTCCTTCAAAACTGCAGGTGGGGATGTTCATCTAACTTAGGATTGCAATTCATGACACCATCATTACAAGACTAATTTTGGGCTTCATTTCATCTCTGGCATTTTTTTTGGTGAGGTCAGTTTTGTCTAGAATTGACAGATTCCATACATCATGTGCAACTAGTGCATGTAAACAATGTGCTGAGAGATTTACCATGGGAGCTTACTACCCTCAGCAGGTGCATCTATATACTTTTGTCTGTGTACACTGGAGTTGCATATTTCTTCATCAACTTTGGTACTGCCGTTATAATACTAAAAGTGAGGCAGCACAACATGATTTGCTAATGTATGTTGTACATCAAATAATTGCAAAGGAAACCAGGCACTGTCACTGTGCCAGACACAACAGAGAAAGGGACCATGTGTAAGATAATCAGAATAAATCTGAATTGTACTAACTGAGAGTACCTAACAATGAACATCCTCATAAACCTTGCAAATTTAACATGATGGAAAGAGGAAGAAAACTATAGAAACTGGGCAACTGTTGCAAATCAAACTCTGCAACTTCTGTCATCAGATTAACATAGAAACTTACCAGTGCACAACTTCACACCCAACTATCTGTGCTGTGTAAAGTTGTGAAATAGGAACCTGAGGCCATAGTCATACATGTAAGACCCTTCACCTCTCTGCCTTCCATTTGGTTAGAGCAAATACTGAACTCTGTGTACCATTCAACCAGATGATACTCCTGGCTTGCAGTAATAAAATTCTTAAAAACACACTTTGTTTTTTTAATTAAAGAAAATATTTATATAGAATTGAGAAAGTACCAAGGACATTATTCTTCCACTATCAGTAAAATTATTCCCATTACTTTTACTTCATTGTCCTTGCCAATGACATGACCTGAAATAATAGTTCAATGTAAATGAGGAGAGAAGAGTGGAAAATGTTGCTTTGGAAATCTGTGTGCTGGAAACAAGACCCAACTCAATAAAATCAGGTGAAGCGATTTTCACCCAACTAAGGCTCAGATAGTTCTAACCAAAATTACATGATTTGGATTGGATCATGTATATGGTATCAAACAAAAGAGGTTGCAGAGCATCTTCTTATCATGACCTTTTTAGCCCACTGTAAAGAACTAACTTCTTGACCTCTACCCAAAACATTTTGTTTTGTCTTAAGAATCAAAGTGCATAACTTTTTATTAGATATCAATAGGAATTGAATCCTCCGCAAACAAATCGGATGACAAAGCATGACAAAAACCAATCTTCATGACTTCATACAAATAGCAACAAAGAAGCAACAGTACCCCAATCTTCAGAAGATGCTTCTGCCACTATGAGGTGGAACTTTGGGGCCTTATTGAGTGCAAGCCAAGAACTACTGTGGGCACTACAACTGCAGACCCTGCAGTGCATTGGATGGCTGGTACATCAAAAGGTAAAGATGTCTTGAGTTTTATAGAAAGTGGGGACAATTTCTGCAACCCTTGGTATTTGTATTTGTATGGGATAATGAGTTTAAAAAGTGTTCAAGATGACAAATCTGGCTAAGTTTTGCGACAGTGTGCAATTTTATTTTTTTGGATCAATTAAAATTTACTTTCAAGCACCAAAAGTCTCGGTGAGTGTGTGATGTCTTTTGGTGGCATTGCTATTAAATTTGTGGCTTGAAGTATATGGCTTGCATATTGGGTGTGCAGATTTGATTAGCACATTGCTCTTGTGACCATGAATCCCTGCTTGCTCTTGCTGATATTGCTGGATACCTTGTATGAGTAATTGGAAGTGTGCTTATCCTTGTTGAGTTTGTCTTGTTCTTGCAGGTGGTTAGAATCTGGAATGAAATCTGGTGTTGAGATGTAGATGTGGAGTTCTGTGTGGAGTGGAACAGATTTGTGGATTTTGGTCAAATATCAGAATATTTATGGCATTGTTGAGTTGATTTAAATAGCAGCATTGCCTTGTTGATGTGACCTGTGTATGTGGAGATTTGTCTTTTGGTAGTTTAACTTTTAAGCAGTTAGATGCAGTGATTAGTGGAGTAGCAGAGTTTGAGAATGCTTTGTAATGACCTTAAAAGTACTAGAAGATGGAAAATTTAATGAAGAAGTATTATTTAAAGGTTGGCAATTCAATACTAAGATATGAAATACTAATTTTGTTGTGTGGATCCTAGCACAAATATTGAGTCAATTTAAATATTTTTATTTAATTTTAAACATTAGAAAAATCATGATGATATTGTGTGTATATATATAAATATATAATTTATTTTCCTCTATTTTTGTATACTATTATTTGAAATTTCAAAACCAAGCTCAAAATCGGTTTGAGATATATAAAGAATCAATAGTATTAAATAAAAATTTCAAAAATTTGTATAAAAATTAATAAAAGTCTTTAAATTATTTAAGAATTTATTATCTTAGGTCCTTTATTCTTATTCTATTTATATTTATATTTTTAAAAATTCATCTATTTTTTGAAGATAAATAATTATTTTTATTTAAAAATTAAGTATCCAATCTTCAACAACATCATTGAGGTACTATTTTTTATACTAGATTCCAATAAAATTATAGCTATGCATAAGAAATACTAGAATTTTGTTTACAAAGAGATTAAGAAAAAACAAAACAAAACAAAACAAAACAAAATTACAGTTTTTAATTTTTGATTAATAATTATTTAATTATTAAAAAATAATTTTTATAATTTTAATATATATTATTTAAAATTTATTATCTAGCATTCTTTTAAAATAATGAAAACCATAAGTAACCCATAATCTACATTAAAAAATATATTTTATGTATATTTTTATATTAACATTAAGAAAATTAAATTATAATATTATAAATTTTATTTTCATATTTTTAAAATTTTATATTTATAGATATTTATTTTATAATATAAATTTATAAAAAGAACCAAATTATTTAAAATAAAAATTATATCTTAAAATACTACTATTATTAAGAAAAATTAATATTTTTTTTATAAATTATTATAATTAAAAATTATTTGAAAAAAATTGAAATTCCTATGCATAGCTATAATTTTATTTTATTATGGTACTTAAGTTGATACTATAAAATTTATAAATATAGTTATAATTGATGAATAGATTAGAGACTTGTAAAAATGTTGGAGGAGAGTATCTAGATTTTGAAGCATTTTACCTCAAGGGAAAATGAGGCTTCTTCCAAACTATTAAAAAGTAGACTTTGTTCCTTTCAAGTTTGTTGGTCTTGGGTACAATGGTCCATTGGTGCACCTTATAATGAAGTCGCTTGAAGTAGAACACATATTAAGAGAAGTCTTTGTCAAAAGAGAAGAATCTATTGATCCACAATCTTGTAATGATGTTGCAATTGAATAATTTGAATCCAAGCAAGAACTCATAACAAGTTATGTATATCTAATTTATTTAAAAAATTAAATTCTTTAGTAGAATAAGTTAGAATTGTATGATAAAGTAGCCACTGAAAAATTGGATGTATCTTTTAATATATTTGTAATTTTTTTTAAAAATAGATTATCAATTTAATCAAATTATTATTATTTTTTTATTTTTTTTTATTTATTTTGCTAAGACTTGAACTTTCACATTTTGAATTTGCTAAAGCCTATTGTCAAAGACATGAATCACAAACAATAAAAACCTCAATATACTCTTATACCACTTAAAAGAATAGATATTTATGCAAAAGTAGCATAGTATCAAAATTAGAATGGCTATTGCCAAAGACAAGAAGATTTGAAACTCTTGAAACAAGGTTAGCAAAAAAAGCATTGATAAGAGTAAAAAAAAGGTTAATTCTTGCTTCTATATATACGATCTGATTAAGAACTATATAGTGACATTCTATAGAACCTCTAATATGTGTCTAACTTGTAAGATAAATTTTCTACATGTACACTACATGGCCAACTTGTACTACAATTTGCCAACATGTTGTCACAAATATATATATATATTCTAATAATTACCTATATAATTAAGTAGAAGTAGCTAAAAGTAGATCAATTTCATAATATCTTCTAAGAAAGCTTCTTAAAAACTTCATAGACATGGCTTTGACTTTATACGTATTTGTAGTTGATTGATTGGTTAAAAACTTGGCCAACAAGTTAGTCACATGTAACTTGAGTTGGTAGCTTGTGGAACAAGCTAACTATGTAGCGCACATATAGGAAATTTGTTTTGTAAGTTAAGACATGTGACTTACATAGTCAACATATATTGGAGGTCCTATAGAACATTGTCATGTAGCTCCTAATTAGATAATATATATGGAGGCAATATTGAAGCCTTCTTCACTTTTGTCAACACCTTTCTTGTTTTTAGTCTATTTTTGAGAATCTATACTCTTCTTGTCTTTGGTAATAGCCATTTTAGTCTTAATACTATATTATTTTTGGAATAGATATTTATTCTTCTTGAGTTATATCAGAAT